GTAGCGTTCCGGACTACGTAGCAGAGGATAGACGAAATAATTATACTACAATGTTTAAGAATATTGGGAAGCTGGTGAGAGATGTTGATAAAGAAATTTTGGGCAAACTTGTTCGGTCTCCTACAGCAAGCTCCTCGGCTCATAATTCAAGGTGCCTTTGCTTCTGTTTGTTATTTTTCTTTGGGCGGCCAGGGGCTTCATTTGACTTCCTGGAATTCCAGTCTCCTAAACAGCCGTTGGAGCATTGGTTACCCCAAATATTTTGCTGTATGATAAAGTTACTTATTGGCTCATCACTCATCACTAGGAATTGGAGTAGTGATCAAGTCCTGAGAGCTTGAACTAACAATTGCTTTTGCCACTTCAGTTCACTTCTTAGAATTTCACCTTTTGATTTTGCTTCCATGTGTTCTAACAATCACACAAATTATTTTAGTTCGAAAAGCAGAGTTCCAGAGGGAGATGAATCCAAGTCTGACCAACCTAGCCCAAGAGTTTCTGAACCAGATGAGCCTTCCATTTTTAACCCGCCAAATCCAAGGTATATTTTTTAGTTACACTGTGCATTATACTCCTTCTGATGCAGAGACTGTTTTTATTACTTGAACTCTTTACTTTTATTATATTCAGTCCTAGCAGATCTACAGAAATGGCGTGTCATAATAGTAATGAACCCTAGTTTTAGTTTTTGGAGGAATAGTGAAAATTTTGATCATCTTCTGAACTTTTGCCTTTAACCAGGTAAACATCTGTCTTCAGTTTTTAGTAGCAGGGGACATTAGTTATTATGACTTCTGCTGTTGCTAGAAAAGAAGTTGCTGGATTAATTTATGTAACCTGTCATTTGCAACATGCATCCTTAAATAGTGCTATAGATTCAAGAGTTCCCTTATTGGAAATGATAACTTGTGATTTTTATGCTAGGATATTGAGACTTTCTGATCCTTTTGGTTTAGAAAGAAAACAAAAATATTTATTTATATGTTATTCTTTGGCTCTTCTTACAATTGACTTCGTGAAGTTTGTGACTCAGTTTCTTTTTTCTTCTTTCTCCTCATCCTTTTTGGTCTCTTGTTCTTGGTTGGTATGCAGTTTTATTGTTCCTCCAGTTCCTGGTAGTGGGGGTGATGATCTCTTTCCTGGTCCTGGTGCAGGAGTTTACCCTAGGTGCTTTGCCTTTCCCCCATCCTCCCCCACCTGAATTCTTTTTCTTTCATTAACTTAATGAGTAGACAGCATGCAATTGTTTTTCTACTTGAGCAACGGCTTCAAACTTGAAACATTGACATCTGTTCTTGTTTTCTCAAGGGGCAATTTTGGTGGACCTGGCAGCATGCTCATAGGTTTGTCTTGCCACTGTTGTTTCAGATTTGATTCATTAAATGATGTTGTTAAACTTGTTTGGCATGACACCTATTAAGTTGTGGATACAGGACCAAATGATCCTCGGTGGTTTGGCTCTGGTAACGGACCTCCTCATTTCCCCGGAGGACCACAACCGTGAGCTCTCTCTCTCTCTCTCTCTGAATGTATTAAAAACACATGGTGCTAGCTGAGTTTCTTTATCTGTTGATTGATTTAGGGGTGTCCCTCCCGGTGCTCGTTTTGATCCATATGGCCCACCTGGTGTTCCGGGTTTTGAGCCTAATCGCTTTATTAGGTACTGTAATATTCTCCGAATTACATGGTCATTCTGATATAGCACGTTGAATTAATGGAATTCCTTGTGTTTTTTCTTTATTGTTTCCTTGTTCGGTGTTGTGTCAATGGGGAGGTAAATCAAGGTGGTTTTACCATGCAGTCTGCAGACTGCTGCTTTCTTAATAATTTAGGAGGCAGAGAATGGTAGATCTCTGTTTAATACTACTGTTAAAAGATTTTCACAATACCAGTCAGGCTTTCTTAAGTGCTTGTTTTGGTGCTTTAATCTTGCTGCATCAGCAAGAAGGTGTTTATTTCATGTAACTGTTTTCGGAGTGCAGAACACAGCTTCCATTATCAGCACTTGTATCTCCATCTTTGAATGGAACTTAAATTTTCGTAGACTATGTGTCCCACATTAGTATTCACTTGGCCTATAATCATTTCGTGGAATGTTTTGCTCATTTGCTATTACAATTCAGCGATATAGTGTTGGCACTTAATAAAGACCTTTTGGATTGACAAATCAGGGTTTTCACTGCTATTTCAAACTTACCATTAGGGGAAATCCTTTTTAACTAGGGTCATTATATCCGATTTCTTGTAAGAACGGATGCTCAGTAGATTTTTTAAATGGGAAATGGAATGGATAAGTGCGTTAGATATCTAACATCAGGTTGTGGTTGTGTGCTTGGCTTGGACTAAACATTCTTCTGATATGGCATCAGAATCTCTAAAGTTGTTTGTGGGATATTGTATTTTCCATGTTTGCACCTCGTCTTACTTGCCAACAGGGGTATCAGCCTGGATAAATATAGCTGCTTATACGCTTAGTAAGCGTTACTGTGCATTTGCTTGCCTTTTTTGTTGTGGGTTTGTTGCTTTTACATGTTGGTTTTTTATTTGTGACTATATGCAGGCATCCAAGACGGCCTGGGGGTGGGACTCATCCAGACTTGGAGCACTTTGGGGATGGCTCTGATATTATATAAGATTTGGACTGAGTCGAAGTTGTTTTTCTTCATTTTTGCCTGCTTCTGTCTTTATATAAAATCTCAGACGTTATTGTGATTGTTTAGCTGTAAATTTGTTCAATACACGATTGTTGAGTTGTGAATTTCACTACAGTTTTTAGTCAATCTATGGATGAACAGCAGTACAAATCTCTTATTGTACCTTCTGGTCGACCGTTTGTCAATGAGAGTAAAGGTCGAGTAATGCGCAGAATTTGTTGCTTGTTACGAAGAGTGCCACTAACTGACCTACCCACAAGTTATTACCGCCTCCCCGCGGCCCAGGAGATACGAAAGTACAAGTTATCCAACTTCAGCACAAAACACCTAGATGCCTAGTATTTTGTTTCCTGGCAGGATTCAAGAGTTAAGAAGGGGACACGGAGAGATGTCAGTGCAAATCCTGTGCAGTAGAACTCTAAGGCATGTCTTTTGACTCTCGAGCAAAAGATCATTTTTTCTTTTTAGCAAGCATAAGGGGGGTTTTTTTTTTTTTTGGGTGGGTTCCCCCGCCGGGGGTGGTGGGGCTATGAGCCAAGGCAAGGCTCAAGATTTACCAAAGATGCAAGTAAATTTTGAATTTAAAACTTTCTGCTTATAAAAAATAAAAATAAAAATAAAAAAAATACACAACTACAGTATTTTTCTCAAACTAATCTCAACCCATTATGCGGAAGTTGGATAGCTTTTTTGCGTTATATCTACATTTGTGTTTCTCCGAGACTCTCAGCCTATTGAGCTGTCCATCATCTGTAAAGTAACGAATTAGAGATTTGCCGGCTTAAGGTGCGCTAATTTTCTCCAAATATGTATGCGCCATACTGGTCCACATTTCTGTTCTTTCTCTGTTTTGTCAAAAAGGTTGTATGCCTTTTTATAAAAGTCAGCAGAGCTCTTGTTTTGCCAAGCTCGCTTACTCAATCGCACAAGGGATATTTTGATGGAAAGCCATACACTTTCATTTGACATATTTGAGTGATGAAAACAAAAGCAGTAATTAACTCACGCTTTCAGTTGGCAATAGTGGCCGGGATTGTTCTGCCAGCATATCTAGCAAGGAAACCTATGGGGGTTATACAATATAGAGCAGAGACTCATTATTGCTGTTAACATATCCAGAAAGGGGATGTTAAAGACGTGATAGTTGATTGTGATCTTAGTTGGTTGATTGATCGGTGATCGCGTTTAACAGAACGCTGACACACATATGGACAATTTTCTGTAGATTTGCAGGGGAGCAGGAAAGAGGGTGCCTAAACAAATTTTCCCGGTAGGGAGATGTGAAAAGGTATAAAAGATTGTTGGATTAATTGGAAGACTTTAAACCACCACCACCGAGCCATTAAGGCTTTAGTGGGGGTGGGAGGCAAGGTTTCGACTTATGTGGTTCTTCAAAAAATTCAGAGGGATATATAGTACACTTATTTGGTCTAGTAGAATTCTGTCCCCGTCAACCCCCTTGTAGGTTCAGTTGGATCTCTCCCTTAGATTAGGATAAGGTAGGATATATAGATAAAAAAGTAACGATCGACGAAAAAAAATTGAAAGACTTTAGAAGTCTTGTCAAAAAATGAGAGAAGTGACACAAGACAATGGAAAACTTGTTTTGCTACAGAATCCTACCCTGTAGGGGTGTACAAAATCGAAAAATTTCGATTTACCGACCGAATTCGAATTGAATACGAAAATTTTGAAATTGATAATTTAGAATTTGACATTGAAATCAGAATTTTCGATTTCAAATTATGCGAATTTGGTTCGAATTCGGTAATGACGTTTTTGAAATCGGAAATCGAAATCAAAATTTTCAATTTCAATTTCAATTTTGTTTTATAATATGTATATTAATATATATAATAATATTTCTTATAATATATTTGTATATAATAATATTTTTTTATAATATATGCAATATAAAATTTATATTATATAACAATACATCTAAGAAAAAAGAAAAAAAAAAGGAAAAAAAGGTTTCTACCGAATTAAATTCGAATTCGAAATCGAAATCGGAACTGATGAATTCAAAATCGAAATCAATCGATAATTCTTATGTCAAAATTTTAAAAAATTTCAAATTCAAAACTCCCAAATTATCGAATTCGAATTCGATGCACGCTTGCACTACTCTGTGCCAAAGCTGGAACTGGAAGTGCTAAGAAACAAGTCTTGGGGACCGAAACCGCAAAAGGACGAAATAAGTCTGAGAAACGCGTGACAGCGGCCTCCACGCCTACATTTCTTTCCAGAAGCCCACACTGGTTACGTGCTGCTGGTGCAAACTACAAACAGAAGAATCCAACCTTCTAGACACGACAACGACCCCTTTATTATATTATGTTCTGTTATAACACGATTTCTTCCCATCCGTAATGAGTAGTAAATGATAACTCTAATTCTTTTCGATTCTGTATATATTAGAATCAAACTACCGCCTCTCCACCCCCACAGCCTCGGAAATATCAATCAGTATCCGCGTATAGAGTCACCTCTATCTCTGGCCAAGTAGTCTGCGACTCTGCTTACAATCAATCTTCTACTCCAAGCATTTCCATCCAACTAAATCAGCAGAAGTTCGACTGGACACATATGGGGTGGTTGCTTAAGCCGGCGGCTCCTTTGTTACTGATGCTGTTTTTAGTAAGTTTCGGATGGCAGGACGAGAAATTTAGCAGTGCAGGAGCCATCAGGCCACTCCCCCTTTTACCTCAACAGAGTAAGAACTGATGGCCACCGAATCTCTCTCTCTCTCTCGTCTCTCCCCCTTGTTCTCATTTTAACTTGAAAAGATTCTAGTATCATGATCAATGAACCTAAGTTGTGCTGATCCTAATTTTGCAGAATACTCAAAGATTTTCGCTAGCCTTGGAGTTGTTTGCAAGTGTTGTGATGGTGCAGCAGCTTCAGATGGGGAACATTGTGCAACTACATGGACTGGGGCTTGCTCCAATCTTCAGTGCCTTCCATGGAAATTGCAGTAGTTAGAAGTTAGAACTGGTGTACAAAATCTCAATTTTCATTTTCAACTACATGGACTGGGCTTTGCTCCAATCTTCAGCGCCTTCCATGGAAATTGCAGTAGTTAGAACTGGTGTACAAAATCTCAATTTTCATTTTCAACATCTTCTTGTCTGCCTTTACAGATCGTGATTTCGACTCATAGATCCTATTTTATACACTATCACGATTAGATGTCCGATACATATTTAAATTTTAAATTCAAATTCAAATTATGTATCGTACATTCAATTCAATGGTAAAAATACATACAATATTAATTCATAGTTAATATACAAATAAAATACCCTAAAACTCGCGACACTGGACCTGCTTACCTAAAAATGTGATTAATTATATAAGGTATGTATGAGCTGTTTTCTTGGGAAATATCTTCTTGACTGACTTCCATGGATCAAACATGAAAGCCTAACAACCTAACTGGCTTTCAAGGTGATGTTTATGCACCATAAAACGGGAACCCACCTAAACTGATTGGACCTTATTACTGCTTCTTAAGCTTTTACGGTCGGACCAGTACTGCAGTCGGGTTAAAGTTGGCCGTTGGGATCCCATTTGGCAAAGAGTCCTCTTTGGTTCCACTTGTTGGGCTGTAATTTGCTAGTACCAGTACATTGAATTACGATGGTACCAAGTAATCATTTCTGGTAGGGCTTGTCAAGAAATTTCGTCGAATAGTGTAAGATGAGCATGCCCCGCCGCATGAGGTTCAACGGATATTTCCGCCGCATCTTCTTGACCGAATTGTGATTTGTCTAATCTAGTGCCAAACGAGTCTTTCTCGGACTGGTGTCATAAATAAAAAAGAAGGGGGAATGGCTCGGCTATCCCACCGAACCAAAAATAGATTATATAAATGAGCGATCTGTTCGTAGGCGTTTGTCCCCGATTCAATCGGGGATCGAATTGATTATAGAAACATGAGGTTGGATTAGTTGGGACTGATAATGTCCTCCCGGCACCCAATTTGGGGACGCAATGTTGAAACTCCAGATCTCCAGACCTGTCTTCTTTTAGCTAATCTAAATACCAATTAGGCATTTACCAACCAACGAAATCTTTGATTAAAGATTTAATACTATCTCCCCAAGTTGATTGTATGCAATAAGACATGCGTTTGATAAGATTAAAATTTAAAAACTGAAATTTGAGTCTATCATCTCGTTAAATTATTAAATACTAAATCTGATATATTTAAATCAAATTAAGTGATAATGAATAACTTATCACAGTCCACGCGTGAATGGTTCAGCGGTAGCGCCTCTCACCGGTGACCCTTAAGGTCCCAAGTTCGAGTCTCCGTTTCGTTGGATTCTTCCGCGCACTTATCGCATTCGGATCGAGTTCGGCGTCGGACCCGGACCACAGGGGATTAGTCGGGCCCCGTAAGAATTGACCCAAACACCCCTGTGTCGACAAAAAAAAAAAAAAGAATAACTTATCACTTTTATTTGGAGCAAATTTTGCCCAAAAAATTAGTGCGACTCATCAGATGTTTAATTTTTTATTATCAAATATGTTTTAATATATTAGGACTTGAATATATTAAATTTAAATGTAAAACTGGATTATCAAAAAGTAGGCTTAGTTTTTAGATCATTGGTGTTTAAGCATGTGGATGCTCCGGTAAGCGAGATTCTGTTAAGGTAGGCTTCCAGAAAGAGAGTATACCAATCTCAATCCAGCGACTAACAATAAACAAGTCCAGCCCATGAATACGGTCATGAGTTACAGTTGAAACTGAATGTGAAAACGAGGAAACTTAAAGCTGTACAGGATGTGAACTGTTTTTTTTATAGTGATGTGTGAACGTTAAAAACAAAAATATTTTTTTTTTGCTCAAGAGAATACTCTTGACTTGGAAGGGAAGAAATGAGAGGGTTTAAGAGTTGGATTAATCTTTCCTATACTAACAATAGCAGTGTATACGCTATTAGAGTTGGATGAATGACAACTATATAAAATTTGAATCTGAAATTCAATTTTTGCACATATGTTATGAATAAAACAATAACAGTGTATACACTGTCAGTCAGTGTATATAAAATTTACTCTTAAGAGTTTGGTACATAAGATATGAACTAGTTCTTATAGTTACGTGTGAGTTTTAATATAGCTTTTATTTTTTCGGATTCAAGATAAGAAAAAAGCCACAACTTCGTACTCATGTAACTACTGCCGTTAGCCCGTTACCAGTTATAAAAAGTCTTGAGGGCAACAAGATACCAGTTTTCAGGCTCTGTATATGATTAAAGGGCCTCCGATCGGTTCCCTTGTTGGCAGAATTTTTTTAAATAATCTTTTCTATTCTTAAAAAAAAAAATAGATCAATAGTATTTTTTCATTTACACAATTTAACCTCGTAACCGATCAATTAGATAATTTAACCTGGTAACCTCGTAATTTACACAAAAATTAGATAACTTAACCTCGTAACCTAACAATTACACATGAAGTATCTTGTCAATTAGACTGTACTTGGTTGTCCACAAGCTAAAGTATGCTAGCCTGTTGTTCGCGGTGACCCAGTGAAAGCCGGCGTTGCATTGTGTGAAATTAGAACTTCTAGAGGTAGCCCAAGAAGGGAACTTGATCCTCTTATGCTATTTCTTTTTCAAGTGAGTAGCCCATAGTGGGTCTTGTGGCCCAGTCTTTCAGCTTCTGTAAATCCGCATCCGAAGGTTATTTTTGTCGGATGGGCCAGTTTTGTTTCATTTTCATGTGATGTAGCTTACTTTTAATAATTTATAGATATAAAACAAAATTTTATGAATTCTAAACACGGTGTTAAAAATTGATGTACAAGAAGATGTGATATGATCCTTACATTTTCTTCAGCCAAATCATAGTAATCAACCTTTTCGAATGATTGCTACATACAATACAACCGTCCTTGCCCCAACTCCATTTTGGTAGGACCAATTTCCTTGAATGCCCGATGCTTAATTTCGGCGTTGATCTTTCTTTGATCCATTGGGGGCACTTCAGAAACGTGGGGTCAAAGTTGAAGCCATAAGCCATATGGCGCAACGGTCGAGGGGTCGGCGGTCTTGAATTGCTAGTATTCTCACTGATCGGGGTTTGATTCGTGCCCGCTGCGCTGCACATCTTGACTCGCTCGGCAAAACCGTATGGGGCTATCGGCTTCCCTCCGGTTTAGTGTGCCACCTCGGGTCCAAAGAGCTCAGGTCGGGACATGTTCCGGATTATAAAAAAAAAAAAAAGTTGAAGTCTTATATTTTTGCTTTTGATAAGCGCTTGGTAACATCGACGAAGAAAGTGTGATAGTATTTGGTTTTTTTTTTTATTTTATTTTTGTAAGTTGCATTTAAAATTGTGTGTTTTTTAAAAGTTGTTTTGGAGTCGGTATTTGAACTCCACAAACAAAAATAATTTTTGAGAAAAACTCTCCAATCCATAGAGAGCCTTTGTTTTAGAGTAACCTGAATGTGTTTTTTATGCATCCAAAATTCGTTCACTACGTAAGAATAAAATGAAAACAAACGATAATATACATCAAGGACTAGAGACCAGAGATGATGCGCACAATGCTCGTGCTATAACAATTTACTCAAACCAGTTTAGGACACGCGGATATCTATCCCTGTGTCTGATCCCTTTTGGTTGTTGGTCGCATTTTTAACTTGTAAAAACAAGATAAAACAGTCTTCTATTTTTGCACAACTCTCCAATAACTAATTGAAGATAATTATGGTCTATTACAGGTCCTAATTCAAGTTTTGGCTTCTTTGTTCATTTTTTTATTTTTTTTAATCTTCTAAACTCAGCAACGAACAATGCGTGGCGAAGTGAATTATAGATTCTTTAGGTTCATAATGGAGGTGAGGCTCTACAATTGTTAGACATAATTATAGTCTACAATATTAGTAATACAACAAATGTATGTAGTCTACAATATCAGTAATACAAAAAAATGCATACACTAACATAATAAAAATTTTAATTATAAGTATGAAAGAAATTTTTTTGGAAAAAAAAAAAAAAAAAGTCTTACGCGGTTCTAAAAGTTGGGTACCAAAAAGACCGTCGGTGTTTAAATTCATGGTCAGCTCGCTGTCTGCGCTGTATCCATGCATAGATCTGAAGATTTCAATCGTATAACTGACAACGGTTGAAAACTTTATCCATAAGCGGAGGGCCATTTGTTGTTTGGAAAGGATTGGTCGGGGATGGATAAGGCGAAAAGGACTGATTGAATCGTGGGTACACACACAGTCGAGAATTGTGAGGATCAAAAACGCCGGAATTAGTCATCACTCATAGGCCACGCAGTCAGTCGAGAGGTGGCAGTGAAGACGAAAGGAAAAGGATATTAATAAAGCGATTGTACTTTGTGAGTGGGACGGTGACAAACCTTGGACTCACGTGGAGCACGCGGCGACTAGAGCTGTTAACGAGTCGAGTCGAGCTCGAGCATGTGATAATCGAGCTCGACTCGAACCCCTAATCGAGCCAGCTCGAGCTCGCTCGATTAGTAATTCGAGCTTCACAAACTATTCGAGATCGACTCGATATGTTCGCTAGAAAACTCGAGCTCGAGCTCGAACTCGAGTTTAAAATTGAGTCGAGCTTATCGAGCTCGAGCTCGAGCTTGTCGAGCCTGTAGAGTATCAAATACACAATAAAAATGACGCTAATACCCCTACTATTCGAGCAGTTTCGAGTTCGAACTCGAGCCTATCGAGCCTGTAGAATATCAAATATACAATGAAATTACACTAATACCCCTACTATTCGAGCCTGTCGAGCTAAAACGAGTCGAGCTATGCTCGGCTCGTCTATTAAACGAGCATCAAGTTGAACTCGAGCTCGGCTCGTTTCTCTCAATAAACGAGCCGAGTCGAGCCCTTATCGAGTCGGGTCGAGCTCGGCTCGCGAGCTACCCGATTCGATTAACAGCTCTAGCGGCGACCCACAGTGGAACTGCGCCAGCAACCCAACAATAAGGGTCCGTTTGGTTGGACTGAAAATATTTTCCTAGTCATTTTCCTGAAAAATCACTTCCTCTCCTATAATTTTTCAGTGTTTGGTTATTAGGTGAAAATCTGATGAAGAGGACGAGAAGAAGAGTACTAATGAGAACAATGCTGAAGATAAAGAAAATGTTAGTCCTGGATCTGATACTGTTCGTCTTGCGTTTGTATTTTTTCCCTCACTTCTACTATTTAAATGGCTTATTTATTTCTTTGCATTTCAGGATAAGGTTGGCTCATGGTACAGCAATCCAGGGACTGGAACTTCAGGGAGTCAAGGTTTGGGTGGTGGTGTAGGGAAGTACTTGAAAGCAAGGAATTCGCAGGTTGAGTCTACTACTGCTGTTGACAGCAGTCTACCTCTTGTTTCTGTGACAAAGAAAAGAAAAGTAGGTGTCTCAACAGGAGAATATAAAGATATTTCTTCGTGGTAAGAGTTGCAATAAATGCTAACCTCCCTAGACAACTGAATTTGCTTGATGGGTTTAGCCAACGTTGATACAGTTTAGCTGCAAGGGGGATAATGGATGACTTGAACCCTGTAAATGCAGAAGTCTGTATTTTATGGTGTATAAATGATGCAATTGAGAGTATTTGTACAGAATCTGTAGTAGCAAAGTTTATAAAGACCTTGGTACTTGAGACGTTTATTTTAGTTTCATGTTCCCAGTTTTGATGGGTTTTTAGGAACTTTTGGGTGGAGTCTTGATAATGTATTTCTTGCTTCCCATTTCTAGTAGCTGAGGTTGATTTAATTGGATGGGAAGTATAAATGAGGGATCTGTGGAAACAGTTGTGTGTTTAGTAGCTTGGACCTGGAGTATCTTCAAAAATGTAGCGGCGGTCTGGCCATCATGGAGCTGGAAATATCATAAAGCACACAGCGGAAAATAACTTCACAATGATAGATAAGGAAGTTATTTTCCTCCCATGGGTATAACTTATTTTCTTAAATAAATTGACAACCAAACAACGAAAAATATAGAAAATATTTTCTGAAAAACCTTTTCCACCTAAACAAACATGCCCTAGATGGTAGCTGTCTTCTACCTTGCTACTACTACTAGTAACTAGCAGTGGTTGTCAGCACACTGCACAAATTTGAAGGGTTTTGTGGATTGGGGGGGGTTGACCCTCTATCTCGAACCACTGAGCACAACTCAGTGGTCACCATCAAAGTTGATGGAGTGGGAGATCAGAAATCAAATCTTGCCTCTCACCATTAATCACAAAAATGTGGCAAGTCACTTCGAACGTCTTCCAGACGAATGTATAGGTTGGTAGGTAATTTAGTTTCCTTCGATTTCTTCCAACTTGTTCATATTCTTTCCTTTCCATAGCATAAAAAAATAAATTTATAAGTTTATTGTATCGATAAAAAAAAACCCCTCTACCTCGTGTTTAGTTGCCATCTACCATGGCCGGAACTAGGGTTGTTGGTGAGCCGAGCTACTCGCGAGCTACTCACGAGTAGCTCGGTCAACAACTCGACTCGAACTCGGGTTGACCGAGTTCGAGTCGAGTATCGAGTAACTCGACACCAAAGCGAGTCGAGTTTCGAGCCCTATTTTCCGAGCTCGTGGCTCGTCGAGTAACTCGACGAGCCAGAGTTAATTAAATAAAATATTTTTAATTTAAATAATATATATTTATTATAATTATAAAATGACTATTATGGGTATAAGTTATATGAAATTTACAATATTACATTCTTTATAATAAAATCCTATAATGGCAAAAAAGTAATAACATAATTGTAAAAAACACTAAAAAGAAAAAATGTCTAAAAATTCAATATTACCTTCTTTTCTTCCTTCTCTGTGCCGAGGGCCGACTGTGCGACTTACTTAGCAAAAAAATTCACTTTACCAATCTACACCCTCACTCCGTTCGTCGCCGACGCCGTTGCTCGCCGCATCTGTGAGACTCCATCACCATCGCCATCGCCTTAACAAGTCCCAAGTCCCAAGTCCCAAATCGAAGCTGCTCTCTGCCTCTCCGGCCTCCGCCAGTCCGCCGCGCTGTACGTCTCCTGTCGGCTGTGTCCTGCCGTGCTGGTTCATCGCTGCCGAGTGTCGAAGACGAAGCACCAAGATCTCACTAGTTCATCGCTGGTTCATCACTGCTCATCTCTGGCTCACTTAGGTAAGTGCTCCTCTGTTTTTGGCTCTGTGTCTCTGGCATTAAAATGGGCCAAGATCGACTAGGAAACTTGGCCGTGGCTGCCATTTTAGATCAGTCTTGGCTGGCTTTCTGATGGCTGGCTTTCTGGATGCAGTCTTGCACATTTTAGGTGCTATGTGAGTCGAGTAAGCACTCAAATTCCCATTTGTGAAGAATCATCTGATTCAATGTTTTTTTCATTACGTTTTCCAGGTGCTAAGTGTGGCCCAGACAACTGATTATCTTTGAATTTGGTATATTCGTCTCCGGCACTTCAAACGCACTTGGAAACTAGAAGTTTATTATAGATCTAGCTTAGTATATCAAGTTAATTTAGTTAACAATTGTTGTAGTGGGTAGTGCCTTGAAAATCTTGTCCAAAATGACTCATCCTTAGTGGATCATAGACCACTCTTTATATCTTAGCTGCTACCTTTATTCAACAGATTTGTGGTGGATTCAGTAACATGCTCTAGGTCTCAAATCTTTGCTAGCAGTATATGAATTATGATTCAATGCATATGCATCACAGACACCTAAATCAGTTTTGTCCTATTGTTGATCACCTTCTGGGCATATGTAAATGGCATCTTGTTCTGATATTGTACTTTTGGGGAACGTCTCTGTAAAAGAGATAATTGTTCTCCCCTCTAGATTGTGCCTCATTGTTGAGCCTTACTTGGTAATTAACTGGATGTGAGTAGATTGACTAATTATGCAGTTGTACTGCATGATGGCTTGAAATAAGATGCTAGTCTCAAGCAAGTGCTTCTGATCCTGTAGCAGATTTATGTGAATCTCTGTCAATTTTTTTTTGAGGTTTTTAATAGATAATTTTGTGAAGGCTTATAGCAGTTACATGTCTCAAGCATCCTTAGTTCTCAGAGATCCATATTAAATGTTGTGAAACTCAGCTCTGTCATTCAATATTTGGTTGGTTGATATGTCAAGTCAGTAAAAAAAAAAACCTTCCAGATGATTAACTATATTCTTATATGAGCTAGTTTTGAGTGCAGTTACCTTACTTGTTTTGTTGGCGTGCTGATATTAACTTGTTGTACAGTTGAGAACTGAAATGGTCTTAGGATAATCAATCATCTTTTTTCTCCCTAACCAGGCACGCCATTTATGTAAATAATTTTGTAGACTTCAGATATGAGCAGTGTACACATTTTGAAATCTTGTTAAAAGGCAACTCCTCCGGAAATTGCAGGACTCCTGTACTTGGGAGATTGAAAGTCTTACTGTCCTTTTCTGAACCAGGAACATATTTTTCTGACATGTTCTTGTTTAAAGCAGCTTTCTTTAGTTAGTAATTAGTGATATTTGTGGGGAAAAGGAATTTCTGGATAGATCTTGGCATTGGTTTCTGAATTGAGCTTGTGGTAGTTGGGATATTGTGGCTGTTTGAGATAATTGTTTGTCTCTCAATTTGGTGGCTCAGCTCATGTTTTGCTGAGTTTTGAAATTTTGTGGGGAATTTTGGTTAGTTTGGGTACTTTTGCAGCACACTTAGGAACTATGATCCGAGGAATTAGAAGCATCCATATTTTCTGCTCTTGTGGGCACCTACCGTTGGTGGGCAATTGCTGAATTTGAAAGTTTCATGTCAAGCAATCCAGCAAGTGGGAATTTCCCTTTTTTCTTCTCTATTCTTCTTTGTGGTGAATCTGATTTTTAGGGGTGTTAAAGATGCTAACTGTGGGAGGTAGAATGCGGATACTTTTAGTTGTATTTGTATTGATGAATCATGGATTTTATGCCTCATTTACTCCAGCTGATAGCTACTTGCTTGCCTTTGAATCTTCCCAAAACATCACCTTTGATCTGTTTTTTTCGTCAAATCGAGTCAAAAAACTTGATAAGACTCGACTTGATAAGGCTCGATGAAAGATCGAGCCTTATCGAGTCGAGTCTCGAGCCTGAGGAAATTCTTCGAGTCGATCTTCGAGTATCGATTTTCTTGGCTCGATCGAGCTCGAGTCGAGCTCGAGCCTCTGTGTGTATGAGTCGAGTCGAGCTCGAGTATAGTGATACTCGAGCTCGACTCGGCTCGATTACATCCCTAGCCGGAACCAATGCCCCGCATTCGCTAGTTGGATCCCACCGGTTCCCACTAGGGCTGCAAAAGAATCGAGCCGCTCGCGAGCGGCTCGAGTCAAGCTCGAGTCGAGCTCGAACCGGCTCGAGTCAAACTCGAGTTAAGAATATTAAGCTCGTTAGCTCGCGAGCCGGTTCGCGAGGTTGAGTATATATATTTTTTTTTATTTTTGTTTTTATTTAATAATAAAATTACTTATATTATATATATTTTTTTTATTTTTAAAGTAAAATTACGTATATATCCTTAATATTTTTATTATTTATTCAAAAAAAATATTATTTTATTTATTTTTTTTAAAAATAAAAATTTATTTTTTTATTTTTTTTCGAGCTCGAGCTCGAAAGTTGCCGGCTCGTCGAGCTCGAGCTTGGTAAAATTTAATCGAGACTCGACTCGACTCGGCTCGTTTGCAGCCCTAGTTCCCACGCTATCTTGTTCCTGTCTTAGGCCCACCGCATCACCCATTAACTTTTTTTTCCCTTTTCTCTTGAGGGCTATATTTTCTTTTTCCAATTTCACTTTAAGAAAATGACTATCAATAACGCATCAACACCCGAAGCAAAGTAATGTATCATCTAGTACTAAGATTAATTTAAATAGCAAACGATTTCAGTGACACAAAAAAAGCAAAAGGTGATTATGCCCTTAGTTTTAGGAGTTAGCATGTTGGTATCTATCATTTAAGAATATCATGGTCTTTAATAGTTTTTTTTTGTATGTGAACTCTTAATTTAATGTATTTTATATCGTTTGAAACTTAAACAAGTAAGTATTTTATTATAATCAAACTCCATCGAGGGCACAACTCTCTTTTTTTTTTCTTTTTTTGTGGTGGCAAATTACGTGTCCTCAAATTGAATAACAAATGCTGCGTATAATTGTTTCATTAGAAAGGCATCCTTTCCGTAGCTATGCTTGATGTGAAGGAAAAGAAGGGGCGGAAAAGGAAAAAGATTATTATCATTTTACTCCTTTTAATTATATTACTATTATCAATTTATCATCTAATGTTATCTGTTAGTCACTTCACCCCTATAGGTAATTCAACTCAACATGTTAATAATATTGTTATTTTATAGCATTACAATATTGTTATTATCACTTTATCCCTTTAAATTATAGTGATACAATCATTTTGCTTTCTAACATTATTTTCTAGACATTTTACCCTATCATTAATCTAACCCATTTAACCTTATATATATATATATATATAATTAATTAAAAATAAAAATACATGAAATGCTTATTCTTTCTTTTTTTCACTCTAAGAGTTCCAAAAACATAAAAATAAAAGGATTTTTTCAAATTTCTTTTTTACACTTATCCATACTAGGAAAAGAGAAAAAGATAGAAAATTAAATTTTGCAAAGAAATAAAACAAGGAAGAATATAATATAATCGTATTATTTTGAATTAGGTAGTAAACATAAAAGTAGAGTAATTTTGAAATAACAAAAATATTGAATTTTTTGTTATTTGTATTTTAAAAAAAAAGGAATTGAACTCTCTCTCCTCTTCCATCTTTCTATTTTCTTTTCAATATTAATAAGATTACCAAGAAAAAATAGATAATGCATTAACTATTTTTTCCTTTGATAGTAAAAAGGAGAAGAGTCACTCTAATTTTTTTGTTTTTTTTATTATATAAAGATGAGGGTCCATTCTTTTAAAATTTTTTAACTCATTAAGTCGGTTTACTGATGGGATAAATTGTTTAAAGAATAACTCTAAGAGGTAAATTGATAATAAGGATATAATTTTATAGGAGTAAAGTGATAGTAATAATTTTAAGGGCCAAACATGTATTTTCGCTTGAATCAACAACTCTGTTAAATTTGACTATTAGTTTTAAGGATAAAGTGACTAAAAAGTAACATTAATAAAAAAATTAATAGTGATATCAAAACGTTAAGGGGATAAAGTAATAATAATAATCCAAAAAGAATTTTAAGTGTTAAACAAAATATGCCCATTTATTGAACCAACCAAATTTGAGAAACGCATGGACGCTTAGTGTAACACAGAGGATTCCATACAACATATTGAATCTCTGATGATAAAATTCTGATGCCCCTTGGCCTTGGTCTGATCCCGGACCCTCCGCCCCGCCCCCCCCCCCCCCCCCCCCCACCACCAAAAATGACAAGCAACTCCACATCACTTCCACGTACCAATACTAACACGACTGCATCAATAATTCAATATCTAAATTTTTTTTTTCCTGCCCCACCCCAGAAGACGGTTTGATCCGACAAGATAAAAAGATAAGATCAGTTCCTTACTCTATCCCTTCCAACCCCCTTCAAAACCTCACGTTTTGTCCCATACATCCAGTGTGTGTGTGTGTGTGATTTTTTTTTCCAGTTTGGGTACTATACAAATAGGGACGTAAAAGAAATCACCCCACATTATCATTTATAAGCCATAAAAAGGCTCCCACCGCAGCATCTGATTTGTTAATGTGACAAAAGAGAAACTCCAATTTCTGATAAATGCAGTATTTACCACTCTTTTACTAGTTACTTTTAGTCAACAACACTAATTTCTCAAATTTCTGATCAATGCAAAATGAACAAAAAAAAAAAAAAAGAAAAGTTCACATCACTGCCTCGAAAAAACTTTTCCCTCTCTTTTTTTGACGCACGCAGGATCTAAATTGTGAGTTTCAACCATAAGCATATCCAAAAGAAGAGCAGGGAAAAGTCAAAAAGATGGGTTTCAGAAAGAAAAGGACAGTAGAAATAAATATAATACCACATCGGACGCGAAGACTACAGAAAAGGAAGAGTGGATTGTTGTCATTGTGACTATTATCCAGTAAAGCTGTCGTGGCAGGAAAGGGTTGGGAAGTGAAAGGAATGGAGCCGACAGCGGGCGGAGACGGGGCAGTCCACATGGCGGGAAGGTCTTAGATTTTAGGCGGGTAGGGTAGGACAGCGTGATGAGCAACTAACGCCATAATAACCGAAACTGAACAAACAGAAAGATTTCATTGATTGAGAGATCAACCTTTTTTGGATATTAACGTTTGTTGGAAAAAAAAAGATCAACCAATTTTTTTTTTTTTTAATTTAGTACAACCACTACTATTCTTATTCTTACTTACTACTGGTAAAGAGGAACACAATGGAAAAAACAGAGAGAGGGAGAGAGAGATCGTCCTTCGACACAACACAGAGCAGTAGAGTTCAAGAAAATAAAATAAATCCCTTGCCGATTTTCCTCCCCCAAAAAAAATTCATATATCTATCACCATTTTCAATTATCGTCAATTGTAGTGTACCGTGTATTTCTTCTTCTTTATATATATAAAATATATATATATCTATATAAATCGAGAGAGAGGAGATCCGATGAGAGAGAGAGAGCGGAGAAGTGGATAAAACAAGGAAATATTAGTTAATACAAGTACATTATTATTAGGAGGCAAACTGAGAGGTCTTCGAGGAGGGACGGTTTCGTTTTGGGTTCTTTGTATTCATCTTGGCTTCGTCTTCCTTTGTTGCTTCCCCCCTTCATCGTCATCATTTTCTTCTTCTTCCCTTATCTCTTTTTCCTGACCTATTACATCAGCTTTTATCTTTCCATCCGTTTCTCTGTTATAATACTTGTTTTTTCTTTTCGTTTTCTTTTTTATCTTGGCTTTTGCATTTCTTGCTCCCTTTTCTTTCCCTCTCAACTTTCTGTTGGTTTCTCGGCAATACTTATCGCCCTCCCCTGGCTGTGTTTTTTCTTTCTTTTTTTCATTTTTTTTGCCCCTTTATCTGACGGTGGGTTTGCTTTATATAAGAAGGTCTCCCTCCCTCACTCTTCGACCTGCAACCCGATACACACTGAAATTATATAGAATCTATATAGCG